CATGGCATCCAGTCCCATCCCTTCATAGCAAATAGATGGGGAAACAATGGAAACAGTGACAGACTTTATTTTCAGAGGCTCCAAAATCACTGCAGATGGTGACTGCAGCCATCAAATTAAAAGATACTTGTTCCTTGGAAGAAAAACTATGACCATTGTAGACAGCATATTAAAAAGCAGAGACATTACTTTGCTGACCAAGGTCCATCTAGTCAAAGCTATGGTTTTTCTAGTAGTCATGTATGGATTTAAGAGTTGGACTGTAAAGAAAGCTGAGTGCCACAGAATTGATCCTTTTGAACTGTGGAGATAATTCTTGAGAGTTTTTTGGACTGCAAGGAGATCAAACCAGTAAATTCTAAGGCAAATCAGTCCTGAATATTAATTGGAAGGACTGATGCTGAAGCTGAAACTCCAATACTTTGGCCACCTGATGGAAAAGAACTGACTCATTGGAAAAGACCCTGATGCTGGGAAAGATTGCAGGCAGGAGGAGAAGGGGACAACAAAGGATGAGATGTTTGGTGGCATCACTGACTCAATGGACATGATTTTGAGCAAGCTCTGGGAGTTGGTGATGGATAGGGAAGCCTGGGGTTCTTCAGTCCTTGGGTTTGCAGAGTCAGACGCGACTGAATGAACTGAAGTGATAAAACTGTACAGTTAGGGTCTAGTGTCTGCTGATATAGTCCCATCAAGTGTTTTTACCCAGATTGATTTCATTCCTTTGAGTCACAGCTGATCATCTCTAATGAAGGAATTAATGTTTGTGTGTGCTCAGTGCTCAGTTGTGTCTGACTCTTTGCGACCCTTTGGACTGTAGCCCTCCAGGCTCCTCTATAGGGTTTTTTTCAGGCAAGAATGCTGGACTGGTTTTCCATTTCCTCCTCCAGGGATCCTCCCAACCCAGGGATTTGGCCCAGGAATGGAACCCATATCTCCTGTGTCTCCTGCATTGCAGGTAGATTTTTTACCACTGAGCCAAATTAATAATATTCTGTTATTCTTTCTTTTTTGTGGACCTTTAGTGTTTATTCAGAAAATTGAAGCCTTTATGTATGTTTGCTTAAAAATGGGCTACAGTGTTACTTTCTCCCCTTTTCCCAACTTTTAATAATGAAATTTTTCTTACAGAAAAGTTGATAGTATTATACAGTAAGTCTGTATATATTCACCACCTAGATACTACAGTTAACATTTTAATATATCAGCTTTATTAAATGACTGTTTATCTTTCGATCCTCAGTCTGTCAGCCCATCTTCTTTTAGTTATACATTTCAGGGAAGTTGCAGGTTTGAGTGCATTTCATGTCCAAAACATCAGAATTTATCTACAGTTTTTTAAAAATAGAATGCTTTTGGAGTGTGGAGAATGCTTTGTGGACTATTTGAAATTATTTGGAACAGGTAATTGTAAAACTAAGTTCTATCATCATACTTTATTTTCCATACTTAGATTGAAAGGGCATATGAGAAAGGGAAAAAGTGTTTTTTAGACCAGTATTATTGTTGTTGTTCAGTCACTCACTCATGTACGACTCTTTGCGACCCCATGCCAGAGTTCCCTGTCCTTCCCTATCTCCTGGAGTTTGCTTAGACTCATGTCCCTTGAGTAGGTGATGCCATCCAACTGTCCCATCATCTGTCGTTCCCTTCTCTTTCTGCCCTCAATCTTTCCCAGTATCAAGGTCTTTTGCAGCGAGTCAGCTCTTCACGTCAAGTGGTCAAAGTGTTGGAGCTTCAGCTTCAGCATCACTCCTTCCAGTGAATACTCAGGACTGATTTCCTTTAGGATTGAGTGGTTTGATCTCTTTGTTGTCCAAGGGACTCTCAGGAGTCTTCTCAGCACCACAGATTCGAAAGCATCAATTCTTTCACACTCAACCTTCTTTATGGTCCAACTCTCACATCCACACATGACTGCTGGAAAAACCATAGCTTTGACTAGATGGACCCGTGTCAGCAAAGTGATGACTCTGCTTTTTAATATGCTGTCTAGGTTGGTCATAACTTTTATTTCAAGGAGCAAGTGTCTTTTAATTTCATGGTAGATCACTGCCTGCAGTGACTTTGGAGCCCCCCAAAATAAAGTCTGTCACTGTTCTCATTGTTTCCCTATCTTCATGCAATGAAGTGATGGGACCAGATGCCATGATCTTTGTTTTCTGTTTTCTTTTAGGTCTTAGTTTTTGAATGTTGAGTTTTAAGCCAGCTTTTTCACACTCCTCTTTCATACTTCATTGAGAGGCTCTTTAATTTTTCTTCACTTTCTGCCATTATGGTGGTGTCATCTGCGTATCTGAGGTTATTGATATTCCTCCGGAAATCTTGATTCCAGTTTGTGCTTCATCCAGCCCAGCATTTTGCATGATGTACTCTGCATATAAGTTAAATAAGCAGGGTGACAATATACAGCCTTGACGTACTCCTTTCCCAGTTTGGAACCAGTTCATTTTTCCATGTTTGGTTGGTTCTAACTGTTGCTTCTTGACCCACATACAGGTTTAAACAGGAGGCAGGTAGGATGGTCTGGTTTTCCTATCTCTTTAAGAATTTCCCACACGTTGCTGTGATCCACACAGTCAAAGGCTTTAGCATAGTCAATGAAGCCGAAGTAGATGTTTTTCTGAAATTCCGTTGCTTTTTCTATGATCCAATGGATGTTGGCAATTTGATCTCTGGTTCCTCTGCCTTTTCTAAATCCAGCTTGTACGTCTGGAAGTTCTTGGTTCACATACTGTTGAAGCCTCGCTTGAAGGATTTTGAGCATGATCTTGCTAGTATGTGAAGTCAGTGCAACTGTGCAGTAGTTTGAGCAAAGAAGGGCTTGCCCTTTGGGATTGGAATGAAAACTGACCTTTTCCAGTCCTGTGGCCACTGCTGAGTTTTCCAAATTCATTGGCTTATGGAGTGCAGCACTTTAACAGTATCATCTTTTAGAATTTGAAATAGCTCAGCTGGAATTCCATCACCTCCACTAGTTTTGTAGTGATGTTTCCTAAGGCCCGCTTGACTTCACACTCCAGGATGTCTGGCTCTAGGTGATTGATCACACCATCCTGGTTATCAGAGTCATTAAGACTTTTTTGTACAGTTCTTCTGTGTTTTCTTGTTACCTCTTCTTAATATCTTCTGATCTGTTAGATCCATACCATTTTTGTCCTTTATTGTGCCCATCTTTGCATGAAAAGTTCCCTTGGTATCTCTAATTTTCTTGAAAAGATCTCTTTTCTTTCCAATTCTTTTGTTTTCCTCTGTTTCTTTGTGTTGATCACTTAAAAAGGCTTTCTTATCTCTGTGTGCTCTGCATTCAGATGGGTGTATCTTTCCTTTTCTCTTTTGCCTTTCACTTCTCTTCTTTTCTCAGCTGTTTGTAAGGCCTCCTCAGACAACCATTTTTCCTTTTTGCATTTCTTTTTCTTGGGGATGGTTTTAATCACTGCCTACTTTCCATCTATAGTTTTTCAGGCACTGTGTTTATCAGATCTAATCCCTTGAATATATTTGTCACTTCTACTGTATAGTTATAAGGGATTTGACTTAGGTCATACCTGAATGGCCTGGTGGTTTCCCCTGTTTTCTTCAATTTAAGTCTGAATTTTGCAGTAAGATTCAATATAATTCTATATAATTTATGAAGGATTTTCATGTTTATCATGTTTTACCCAATATTATTATTATTAATAATAGGTAATCATTACTAAATGCTTGCTTTAGTGCCAGGTACTGTCCTAAATTTACCGTTGATGAAGGTACTATGCTAAATTAATGTTCATCCCACTGATACTTAGTTGGCATATTTATTTTTCACATGGATTGATTTGTTTGCTTAAATATTTTTTAGCCCTTTGACGTGCCTTTTTAAAATTTACATTTGGAGATTTCCCTTGTGGTCCCATGGCTAAATGGTGCTCCAAATTCAAGAGGCCCAGGTTCAATCCCTGGTCAGGAAACTAGATCCCATACGCTGCAACTAAGACCCAATGCAGACAAATAAATAAATGAATAAATAAGAAAATATTTAAAAAAAATCTCATTTGTCAACTGCTGCTGTGTTTATAAACTGAATTGCCAGTCTAGACACAAAAACATTTTCTTGGGTGTTTTCTTGGTGCTTTATACATTGCTATTTATAATATTTGATCATAATTTAGGAAGAATCACTGAATATCTTCCTGTGTTTTTTGATTATAAATCAAAAATCAGTCATAAATCAGTCTAAAGTCTAAAATGTGTCACTTTAAAGGAAAAATGGAGTATATGAAAATCTACATCTAACAGTTACTTCTCCTTAGATTGTTAATTGTTAATATTCTAAAATGGGCTTCCCCCATGGCACTAGTGATAAAGATCCCACCTGCCAGTGCAGGAGATGGAAGAGATGCAGGTTAGTTCCTAAGTCAGGAAGATCCTCTGGAGGAAGGCATGGCAACCCACTGTAGTATTCTTTCCTGGAGAATCCCATGGACAGAGGAACCTGGCAGGCTACAGTCCAGAGAGTCGCAAAAAGTTGGACACAGCTGAAGTGACTTTGCATGCATGCACATGAATAATCATATCTACTGTTTTTTGTGTTTACAATGCGCCAGATACTATGACAATCCTAAGAGTTGAGGAAGCTGGACACAAAGGGGTTAAATGAGTTGTCTTGAACCATATGGCCAGTAAGTGAAAAAGCCAAAATATGAATGTTTCAGGTTCTAAGTCCTTGAATTTGACTACTAATGTTTTTCATAGTATCAATGCTTCTCTGGCCACCTGCATCATAATTTTCCTTAGGTAATTGTTAGGAATGCAGATTCCTGAGCCTTACTGTAGACCTACTTTTAGTCATTCAGTTGATTCTTAAGTGCACTGAAGTTTGAGAACCACTGTGCTATGCTCTCCTATAAGCATTACCATGTTTTACTCTCTATTAGCTTAGAAAGATAGACAGAATCAATGAATTGCTTTTATCTTTCTGGATTGATTGATCTTTATGCTTTTGCCTTTATTTCAAGATTGTCATGGATTTTAAGCACCCAGATGGTATGACAGTGCCAGTTATGCTGCCTCGTCGGAGTTTGTTGGTGATGACAGGAGAATCTAGATACCTTTGGACCCATGGGTATGTACTGAAATGACCTAGATGACAGGATACCTTTTGCTTTGTGGGAGTCTCATTCTTTTCTGAGCCGCCAGAACCATGCCTCAGGCTTGCACATTGAGGCTTGCACATGTCCTGGCGCCCCCAGGGACATCTATGGCTTTTTAAAAAACTCTTTATTTTGAAAAAATTTCAAATTTAAAGAAAAATTGTAAGCATAGTATGGTGAATTCCCTTCACCTTTCACATGGGTTTGCCAGTTGTGAATATTTTGCTGTCTGATTTCATTGCTGCCAAAATCTTTTCTCCATGTCCACTGATGCCGCACAGATACATGAAGAAAGAGTTTGGAAGAAATAGAAATCTGGCTTTAATCCTCTGCTTGGTGTAGTGGCACACACCTATAGTCTTAGCTTTGGGAAGCTGAGGCAGGAGGTTTGCTGCAGCCCAGGAGTTCTGGGCTGTAGTACACTATGCTGATCAGGTGTCTGCACTAAGTTTGGCATCATTTTTTCTCCAATATGTTATTGTTATTATTATTTTTGCTCAATCTTTTGAGAGAAAGTTGCAGCCATGATGACCCTTTATCTTTACCTGGTTCATTGCATATTTTTAAAGAGCGAGAACATTGTCTGTATTAGGGGTTGGCAAACTGTGGCTCATGAACCAACTTCAGCCCTTGTTTTTACACAGCTCTTGATCTAAAAGTGGTTTTACATTTTTAAAGTGTTGTAAAGAACAAAAACAAAAAAGAATATGTGGTAGAGACTATAGATGGCCTTCTATGGCTGAAATACATACTTTCTGGTTTTGTTACAGAAGAACTTTGCCAGCCCCTTGTTCTACGAAACTGCAGTGTATGCTTCAAATTCAGGAAATTCAACATTGATAAAATGCTCTTATCATGCTCATACAATCCATCTTGAAAATTTGCTAGTTGCACTTTATACTACTGTCAAAGAAAACCAGACCTTGACAGTAGTTAAAGCAACAAAACCAGATTTTACTCAGGAAGTATTGTAATACAGGAAAAGAGTATAGGAGTGGACTCAATTTCAAATGTAATAAGGAAAAATGGAGATTTATAGACAGGGAACCTGGGGTTGAGGGTGGGGCAGTGTGCATGGATAGAAAACTACTAACAAGGAACATCAGTAGGAAGGGAGAACTCTGGCTAAACCAACCACAGGATTCTTTCTGAAGGCAAGCCACAGTGATCAGACATCACCTGGGGAAAGACAGGTGTAAGGAATTTGGTCAGTTACCAGGGATGATCAGGTATGGAGGATGGTGGATTGTGGCTAAACTGACTTACCAGGATTCTTGCTAAAATAGGACACTAGTCATGTCTGAGGACAGTGCCTATTTGGGCTCAGAGTCAGTTTAGTTCAATCGCTTAGTCATGTCTGACTCTTTGCGACCCCATGGACTGCAGCGTGCCAGGCTTCCCTGTCCATCCCCAACTACTGGAGCTTGCTCAAACTCACGTCCATCGAATTCGTGATGCAATCCAACCATCTCATCCTCTGTCGTCCCCTTCTTCTCCTACCTGCAATCTTTCCCAGCATCAGGGTCTTTTCCACTGAGTCAGTTCTTTGCATCAGATGGCCAAAGTATTGGAGTTTCAGCTTCAGCATCCGTCCTTCCAATGAATATTCAGGACTGATTTCCTTTAAGATTGACTGGTTTGATCTCCTTGCTGTCCAAGGGACTCTCAAGAGTCTTCTCTAACACCACAGTTAAAAAGCATCAATTCTCTGGCAGTCAGCTTTCTTTGTGGTCCAACTCTCACACCCATACATGAATACTGGAAAAACTATAGCTTTGTCTAGATGGACCTTTGTTGGTGAAGTAATGTCTCTGCCTTTTAATATGCTTTTTAGGTTTGTCATAGCTTTTCTTCCAAGGAGCAAGCGTCTTTTAATTTGATGGCTACAGTCACCATCTGCAATGATTTTGGAGCATAAGAAAATAAAGTCTGTCACTGTTTCCATTGTTTCCTGTCTATTTCCCATGAGGTAATGGAACCAGATGCCATGATCTTAGTTTTTTTGAATGTTGAGTTTTAAGCCAGGTTTTTCATTCTCATCTTTCAACTTCATCAAGAGTCTCTTTAGTTCTTCGCTTTCTGCCATAAGGGTAATGTCACCTGCATATCAGAGTTTATTGATATTTTCCTGGAAAACTTGATTTCAGCTTGTGCTTCATTCATCCAGCCCAGCATTTTGCATGATGTACTCTGCATATAAGTTAAATAAGCAGGGTAACAATATACAGTGTTGACGCACTCCTTTCACGATTTGGAACCAGTCTGTTGTTCTATGTCTGGTTCTAACTGTTGCTTCTTGACCTACATACAGATTTCTCAGGTGGCAGGTAAGGTGGTCTCGTGATCTGGGCTCAGAGGAACCTGACTAAAGTTTGGTTGAGGAGAGTCTGTCAGTACCTCGTGGTAAGTTTTCTGTCTGATCTAGGATTTGGTCTGTGGTCTTGCATTACATTTAGTTGTCAATTTTCTTTAGTCTTCTTTAATTTGAAGCAATTTTTCAACTTTTCTTTGTCTTTTTGACATTTACACATTTACACAACAGATGCCAGTTGATCCTTGAGATTTTTTTATATTGAATCTAATGTAAATGAAATGAGTTATTAACTTTTGGCAGGAATAAATCCTCAGTCTTTTGAGGTGGAAGCATCATACTGCTAAAATTTGCATATATTGTCACTTAAAATACTGCTGAATTCTGAACTTATAAATGCTACCCTGGTTGGAGATTTTTTTCTTTTTTAACTCATTTTTTAAAAATTCAGAGAAGTGAGCATTTAAATGGGTTTGTAACCTGTCCTAAATGAGCCATAAAAACAGATAGCCTGATTTTGGGCACTAAGGATTAAATTTGCCTGATTTTTTTTTTCACAGCCATTTAAAATATTTTTCACTTTCAGCAATTGAAAATGGTGATGTGATCCAGTAGTTTAAAGTATTCCTGTAATTTTGAAAATACTAAAGGCAAAGGAGAAAAGGAAGTATATACCCATCTGAATGCAGAGTTCCAAAGAATAGCAAGGAGAGGTAAGAAGGCCTTCCTCAGCAATCAATGTAAAGAAATAGAAGAAAACAATATAATGGGAAAGACTAGAGATCTCTTCAAGAAAATTAGAGGTACCAAGAGAACACTTCATGCAAATATGGGCACAATAAAGGACAGAAACAGTATGGACCTAACAGATATTAAGAAAAGATATTAAGAAAAGGTGGTAAGAATACACAGAAGTATACAAAAAAGATTTTATGACCCAGATAACCATGATGGTGTGATCACTCACTTACAGCCAGACATCCTGGAGTGTGAAGTCAAGCGGGCCTTAGGAAGCATCACTACAAACAAAGCTAGTGGAGGTGGTGGAATTCCAGCTGAGCTATTTCAAATCCTAAAAGATGACACTGTTAAAGTACTGCATTCCATATGCCAGCAAATTTGGAAAACTCATCAGTGACCATAGGACTGGAAAAGGTCAGTTTTCATTCCAATCTCAAAGAAGAACAAGGCCAAGAATGTTTAAACTATTGCACAGTTGTACTCACTTCACGTGCTAGCAAGGTCATGCTCAAAATCCTTCAGGCTAGGCTTCAACAGTATGTGAACCAAGGACTGCCAGATGTTCAAGCTGGTTTTAGAAAAGGTAGAGGAACCAGAGATCGAATTGGCAACATCCTTTGGTTCATAGAAAGAGCAGGAGAGTTCCAGAAAAACATCTACTTCTGCTTTATTGGCTATGCTAAAGCCTTTGAGTGTGTGGATCACAACAACCTATGGAAAATCTTAAAGAGATAGGAATACCAGACCACCGTACCTACCTTCTGAGAAATCTATATGCAGGTCAAGAAGCAACAGTTAGAACCAGACATGGAACAACAGACTGGTTCCAAATCATGAAAGGAGTATGTCAAGGCTGTATATTGTCACCCTGCTTATTTAACTTCTATGCAGAGTACCTTATTGGAAATGCCAGGCTGGATGAAGCACAAGGTGGAATCAGGATTTCCGGGAAAAATATCACTAACCTCAGATATACAGATGATACCACCCTTATTGCAGAAAGCAGAGAAGAATTGAACAGTCTCGATGAATGTGGAACAGAAGAGTGAAAAGCTGGCTTAAAAGTCAACATTCAAAATACGAAGATCATGGCATCTGGTTCCATGACTTCATGGCAAGTAGACAGGGAAACAATGGAAACAGTGACAGACTTTATTTTTCTGGGCTCCAAAATCACTGCAGATGGTGACTGCAGCTATGAAATTAAAAGACACTTGCTCCTTGGAAGAAAAGCTATGACCAGCGTGAACAGCATATTAAAAAACAGAGACATTACTTCACCAACAAACGTCCATCTAGTCAAAGCTATAGTTTTTCCATCAATCATGTACGAATGTGAGAGTTAGACCATAGAAAAGCTGAGTGCCAAAGAATTGATGCTTTTGAACTGTGGTGTTAGAGAAGACTCTTGAGAGTCCCTTGGACAGCAAGAAGATCAAACCAGTCAATCTTAAATGAAAGCAGTCCTGAATATTCGTTGGAAGGACTGATGTTGAAGATGAAGCTCCAATACTTTGGCCACCTGATGAGAGGAACTGACTCACTGGAAAGACCCTGATGGTAGAAAAGATTTCAGGCAGGAGGAGAAGGGGATGACAGAGGATGAGATGGTTGAACGACATCACCAACTTGAAGGACATGAATTTGAGCAAGCTCTGGGAGTTGGTGACAGACAGGGAATCCTGGTGTGCTGAAGTGCATGGGGTTGCAAAGAGTTGGACATGACTGAGAGACTGAACTACTGACTGAGCATTTGTATTTTTCAAAACATTTCAAGATTATTCTGATACACATCTGGATTTTAAAAATTGTTTACAGATTTTTCTAGTAGATCCTAGTTTTGGTCATATGGAGTTCTGTTGTTTTGGTCAACACCAATCATGATACAATGGTATTAAGGGAGCAATAGTTGCCTAATCA